CAAACTTAGCCCGTTCTCTAAAAATATTTATATATTTTTAGAACCTTTTTTATCTCAAATAAAATTCTTATAAATTTGCTGATATTTCTTAAATTATGAAGACAAAAATTTGATGAGTTAACAAAACTTAAAGCATGTACGCAGTGCGACTGAGGTGAAAGGCACGTGGCATATAGTGCAGGAAATTACACAGGCTTCCATTCATGGTCATTGCAATATCGATCTTTACAATAAAATATATGAGGTAAAAATTCTATTAATAACACTTTTTTTTATGTTCAATAACTAGTACTTCGAACACACAATTTACGATTGCGGAGCAATTGGTCTGTTTTATCGAGAACTTTGACTACGAAAACATGTCGAGTTTAATGGAAACTTATATATGAAATAATATAAATTATCGTGAATATATATTTTTAAACTACGTTTTAATACTTGTTTTATTTGACCAGATGGTTTATTTTTATGAAATTTTCAGGAGGTTGAAAATATTAAATATTGTTGAATATATTGAAAGAGAATATTATATACAATGTTAATACACACCTCTCTAAAACAGCTGCATGGGAATCGATATACACCTTTGTTTTGGTTTGGCCGCCCCAGTTTGAATTGCCAAAAAAATTAAGAATTTGTAACACTCGTGATGAACGTTTCGGAATATAAAATCTTAAGAATTTATTTTATTCACAATTTATGTTATGTTTTGGAGTTATTAGGCCGTTGAGGGTTATGTTTAGGGCGGGAAGAAATGCGCGCGGGGCTATCCGCGCGGCTGACGGAGGGCGACTGAATGCGCGAAGGCGGGCGGCCGCCAACTTTGCTCTGCCTATTGAATATCTAAGTACCCTATACTGTGTCCGATGTTACAGTATCTGTCTGACATTTACTAAAACCACACATCCAAACTACAACAAAATAAGAAGGCATGTTTATATGTTATGTTTTTGTTATTGACAATCACCTTTCCATGACGTAAGGTAAAATGGTAAAAGGAAAAACTAAAATACAGAAACCTCTGCATAAAACAACTTTAAAGAATTACTTTTTTTTTTCTTTTTTTTTTCCTACCTAAGCTGAGAGCCTTGAGAGGCTATGTCAGCGTAACCCTAACTTTTGTAGGTGAGCTCACGGGGCTCAAACCTGATGACGTTGCTAACACGAACCCTAGCAAGAGCCGTGCTTCGCAGAATCTACCACCGGATCGGAAACGCGACCCACTGAGAAAATCCGGCGAGAAACTCAGTGGGCTGTGTCTGGGAGTTAATTTACTCGTCGAGCCCTTCGTCGCAAGCGACGGGTTCGACGAGAACGGTGACCGGTGCTTGAAGTACCTAGAAGCACCGTTAGTGGATCGGGAGGATCCGAGATGACGTGTAAAGAATTACAATAATGAAACTTAAATATTGAAAGTCGATTCACAAATACGTTTTATTAATATTTAATTCAATATGTGTATTGTACTCATTTGCCCAACTGTCATATGGGCCTTGCTGCTTTTTCATTACTTTATTTCAGTTTCACGTATTTACAGGGAATGGCTGGCGCGTTAGGGATGACTCTAATAATTTTCGTGTGAACTCAATCAACGTACATACGTATGAAGATCACTACGGTCATTTGGGATTTCAGTATAACTGATCGGTAATATTTGAATTTAAAAAATTATTTATTCGTATGCTTTTAGGCTTTAAGCAATACCACCACTAAATTGGGTGATTGTATTTTTGTTATAAAAGTTTTATTAGTTACATTAAAGAGGGGGTACATGTTTCGCTGTGACTGTCAAATGAACCAGTTTTTAGAATGGTGGTCGCTTTGCCTATGCTTAGTGATACTATATATAATATGGTATCACAAATATATTATAGTATTATAGTATAATATAGTAGTAACTAAGTATAATATCTATACTTCTATACTTGTAATAATAATATAATAATAATATTATAAAGAGGAAAGATTTGTTTGTTTGTATTGAATAGGCTCCGAAACTACTGAACCGATTAAAAAATTTCTTTAACTGTTGGAAAGCTACGCTATCCCCGGGTGACATAGGCTATATTTATTGCATTTTAAAAAAAATAATAGGGATCCTTACTGAAACTCCAATAATGTAACCCAATGTGTAAAAAAATTACCTAAAAATCTTTACATCGCGTGCGCTACTTCCTAAGCGAAGCCGGGGCGGGCCGCTAGTAATATACCTATATATATATAGCTACTCACAATTTACGCGTGACCTACATAAATTTGTGGTGCGAAAAAAAAAAAGTAGTAGGATATGAAAATAGGTGTAGTTTTCGGATGTATGTAGGTACGTACCATAGATGTGAACATTGCGTTTATCTAGCTTGAAATTATTCTAAAGTATCAAAAAAAAAAGAAAAAGCTTTATTTCAAATATCAATAGTGAAAAAGAATATTCAAACAAAGAGACAGTGAAAACGAATATCTTCTTTTTTATCGTTCCCTCGTTACTGAGGATCGCGACCAGACGTATGTAAGTCTCGCCATGAAGGTTGGTCTGCTGTGAGGTGGACCGCCTGTTGGATGCTGCCTCCAACTGTCTTCTTTATAATGTCCGACCATTTTGTTGGTGCCCTGCTTTTGTGTCGTTTCCCCTCCAGTTGATCGAGAATGAGAAGCTTCCAGACTATGCCTATGCGACCGCATGATGTGTCCGAAAAAGCTGAATTTTCTAGACCTTGTGATGTGTATAATAAAACTAATATAGTTGAAATCTTATTATTTATAGATATTCCTACTTATAAATATTGCGATTGCATGTGAAGGAAACATTGAACTTTACAAGACTGACGTCGCAATTATTTTTGCGTTATCAAATTAATTGTTTCGTTAAAGTTATTATTGGTACCGGTTATCAGCTCGGAGCGTTACGCCTCTCATTACAGAGACCGCAGTTTATAACACACTTATATTACAACCACGTTTTTAGTTTCAGTGCAGATTTTAAGAGCGCCTGAATTTGGATACCGTGAAATTTTTTGTGTGTTGATCTGAAGTAGATAGATGGATAAATTGAGATACGATATAAGAACCCTTCTTTACAATCAAATAATATATCACATCGTGACATTTGACGATAGTTTTTATAGTTGTTTTTTATAATGATTCCCTCAAATAGTAAGTTTTGCCCTGGCTCAATCAAAAAAGCACTCACGCTGTAGCGTAGTATTGGATAGTGATTTTTTTCGCAAATCTCTTCTATAACTATATGTCTTGTATAGCCAGTATCAAGAGCAACTACCATATAAAAAAAAGATGTGGTATCGTGGGACACCAGGTAGGAACGAAGTTCCTTCGGCTAATATAGAATCGACACAATTTGCAAAAAAAAAACGTGCTCAATTTTATGTAGGTTTTCTTGATTTTTCTCTGAAATTTTGCTGATTAGTTTTTATTTAAGTACAGGAAAGTATTTAGGAAATTCAGTATTTTAGGAAACAATAAATTACGTAAAATAAAAATAAATCGTAATTCAAATTATCAATTAAAATAACAAAATATGTCTCTTTATTTTTGTTTGACAACATAAAATTGCATAGAAATAGAAATAATTACAAAATAGAGAGAGAAGGGATGAGAGAACGAAAAGAAAGAAGGAGAAAGAGAAAGGTATTATACACTACTCGTTTGTGTATACGACTGTCGCGCCTGCGCACGTCTCATTTAACGGTTTTATTTCACGGACTTTTTCTTACGGTTTTACTATCACATTTTTTTCAGTTCGGTCGCGCAGCAAAATCCCTATCTCCTCCAAGCCTGCCGTAAGGAACTTCGTTCCAAAAAACAGTGAACAATAAGGTTCAGGTAAGAGGTCCTCACAAGAGGTCCTACCACCAGTAAAAAGTTGACATTATTAAAAAAACAGTACATTATCTACTGCCAGATATAGGATTCCGTATAATTTAGTTATGAGTAAATACAACGACGAGTGTGATTTCAATAGTTTCGATAGAATGTGTAAGTGTCTTGGATTAATATTGAAGTCTATCGAAAAAAGGAATATTCTGTCTGCGAACAGGGATTCGATAACAGGGAGTCGACAGCACACAATCATTATACCTGTAAATCCAGACAGTGCCCGCCTCGCACCCGAGATTCAGCAGTAGTTTTGCCTGTTTGAATGCGCATATTATTATACAAATGTCTTGTCTTTGTTACGCTTGTACGAATTTCATGATTGGTACTCTGATGAATTTTCAATGCCTTCAATTAAATCTCTGTTGCTTTACTGAAAACTTTACATACTATTTTTTCTTGTAAAACTCTTATCCTGTTTTTTTTTTTAATTCCAAAAAAAAGAATATTTTTTGGGAGAAATTATTACATAGTCCTATTATTAGCCTCTGTCAGCGCTCATTGTATATCATCTGTCATTTTGTCACTTCTATTTGTTAGAAGGTTCATTTAAGCATTCCGTTATTAATTGCACCAGTCCTACTTTATTGTGAGGATTGTATCTTTCATGAGCATCAACAATTCCAGCGACACATAAGTGTATACTAAAATACTACCTGGAGCCACTGCGGTCATCCACAGTGCGTTTCCAGAGATCTTTTTTGCCACGTACCGTCCGGCTATGGAATGAGCTCCCCTCCACGGTGTTTCCCGAGCGCTATGACATGTCCTTCTTCAAACGAGGCTTGTGGAGAGTATTAAGTGGTAGGCAGCGGCTTGGCTCTGCCCCTGGCATTGCTGAAGTCCATGGGCGACGGTAACCACTCACCATCAGGTGGGCCGTATGCTCGTCCGTCTACAAGGGCAAAAAAAAAAAAATTCTACTTAGGGTACTAAAAAGTTAACAGCCGAATTAAATTTGTTCAAGTACACATTAAATTAGTAAAGTCATTAGGATTCCCATAAAAAGTCAATCGACCGAATAGGTAGGCTTATTGCTTGAAAATATATTGCTTATTTCGATTTATTAACTGGTTTAATGATTGTAAATTTACTCAATACATACAAGAACTATGTATCAATTAACTCATCACCATGTTATGAGTCTCATACTTCTAAACATAGTTTATTCAAGTGACGTATTAGACGAAAAAGTGATTCCTAGAATATTAAATTTACACCCGATTCAGCATACGACTTCACATATGGAGGGTAAAGTGGTAGGAGGGAAATTAGGTTCTCTCGAGCAGTTTCCTTTTCAAGCACAAGTATACAATTTAGGTGCTATTTGTGCTGGGACTATATTAAACAGCTGGACAATACTGACGGTGGCTCATTGCTTTGATCACAATAAGAATGTCCGAGAGTTGGAAGCGCAGACGGGTGGGTATAAATATTTTCACTACCAATGATAGTGAAAATTATATTTTTTTATGAAAATTTTAAGTTCGTATTTGGAAATAATATTTGTCATCTTATGGCTTTATCTTGGTTAGGGTTTAATCTCTACGATTTAGTGTCATTATAAATATTTGACCACTTGTAACTTTTATTGTAGGTTCAAAATACTTATATGACCTCAAAGCAAAAAAGTATAACGTCCGTTCCTTGGTCGTTCACAAAGCGTATAACACGACAGCTCAATTCAGCAACGACATTGCTCTGATCTTCTTGACTAGGCCCGTAGAATTCGGGAAGCTAGTGCAGAAAGGTATTCTGGTTGATAATGGAAAATGGATGTCTAAGTATGAAAAAAACTTTATTGTCAGTGGCTGGGGATGGACACAGGTACATTAATATTTTGTCAAATATTCTGTCAGTTTGTAAAGTTCAAATCGATGAAGTAATGCCTACTTATTAAATCCTATTAACTAATATATTACCGGGACTTTCATGAGATTAAAACAGGTGGTTTATTTTTTCTCAACCAAGTAAAAAATATTGACATTAATATTAATGGCGAAAAGAGAGTTTCGGGGTAAATGACACAATATACCCAATTTATTCATTGGCTCTGTATTCTTGGATTCGATGGCTCGAACGGGAATGACTTGCGTGTCTATTGGAAAACTCGTAACTGCAATGCGAAACATATTTAAACCATATTTCTTTATGTATATAAAAATCATAATTATACCTTAAAATAGCTTTACTTATAAATCCTTAATCACTGTTATAATTTTAATTTGGCTTCGAAAATGTTAGGAAGTTGTCCTAAACATATTATGGTTCCAATCAACAGTTTGTATCATTTCCTACTAACTGACTTATAGACAAAGTTATGATACAAAAAAAATCAAATTCGATATAATTAACACCTGTGTTCTTAAGGAAATCATATGCACTGGAGATCGATAACGTGACCTTATCGTAATTATTTGAATCACCGAATTTTTTTGTGAGTTTGTTCGCAAATATTTTGATACGATTGTAGAATCATGGTGACGTGTGAATTCGCTCCAATTAATAAAATTTTCAGTATGGAGGGCCAATATCACAGCGTGGATTACTGACGACACATCTGGGATACATTCCATCTCGGCAGTGTGGTAGATTTCACAATCTCAGCCTCACCCCAGACATGTTTTGTTTGTATGGGGATGGTGAAAGGGATACTTGTAAGGGTGATTCAGGCACTGGAGTACTTTGGAATGGGTAAGGATTTTTTTTTTTAATTCTTAATTGACTTTTCAATTTTAGCTTATAGGGCTCACTTAAATTAATTTTTTATTAGACAATAACTTTAGATAGTTGTAAATGAATCTTTTTCCGAATACATATTATGTTTTCATTTGTGGACTTGTAGGATAAAAGAGAATTATTATTGTTGTATTTATCCACAGCTTGTGGAAGGAGTCCTACTCAATAATTACTAGTGATGCTTACACGACATACGGTCGCCAACGATGGGTCTTAGTATACAGAGGGCTTAAAATAACTAAAACGCCTCTCCGCGTCCCTGATAACGTGTATACTAAATTTCACGACGATCGATTGAGTAGAGGAGACATAACAAATAAAATAACTCACTTTCGTATTTTTATTATTGAGTATGGATAATGAAGAATAGATATTGATATATATCTGTACTTCACAGACAGTAAAACTAGTTTAGATTTTTTTTATAATTGTTAACTGTTAGGGCGTACATAATAACAAAGAAAGTTAGGTTAACCTTTTGTTTTTAAACAATTTTATACCCATTAGGCAATGTAAAACGTTGGGTGGGTAGCGTGTTTTTGAAATCACGTGTATTAAACAAGGGTTAGAAGCAAGCACGTGCCCTAATTCAAGGGCGAGGTAGTTGTGCGTTCTGACAAGGTTCTCATGTTTATTAAGGACGGAAATTGGATTGGTTAATAAAACAAACAGAAAAGGATTTGGTTTAAAGATTATTTACATTTTCAACTCCCACATGTATAACCTAGATAAGATACTACCTATTAAGTTTCTTATTTCATTTAAAGATTTAGGAAAACGTTTGTTCGAACATCTTAATTTATTGATTTATTTAATACTAGCGACCCGCCCTCGCTTCGCTTCGGAAACATTAAAACACACATGAAACAAAAAAAATAAATAAAAAAAAATTTAAAAAAAGTAGCCTATGTTCATCAGCGACAATTTCGGCTTCTAATGGAAAAAGAATTTTTCAAATCGGTCCAGTAGTTTCGGAGCCTATTCGAAACAAACAAACAAACAAATCTTTCCTCTTTATAATATTAGTATAGATATAGACTAGCTGAACCGGCAAACTTCGTAGTGCCTCAATCGATAAATAAAAGACCTAAACTTTTGTATAAAATAAACTTAAAACAAACAAAGGGAATCTATCCGACGGGGGACACATCAAAGGAAAAACAAAATTGTTATTTTTATTTAATTCCGAGCATTTTCATATTAATTTACCTTTTAAACCTCCTCTGGACTTCTACAAATAATTCCAGACCAAAATTAGCCAAATCGGTCCAGCCGTTCTCGAGTTTTAGCGAGACTAACGAACAGCAATTCAATCATATACACCTATATATATATATAGGTATAGAAGATAGATAATAATGTCTGTATAAAAGCCGTTATGTGTAAGTTGTCTATTTGGTATCAGATTTTATTTTGTAGGTATATTAATCTTTTTAGAAATCGTCTGAAATTATAATATTTCGTTAGGTATTATGGAATTAATTTATAGCGTCTAAAAATAGCATTTGGGTACGTATTTTGTTTTAACATACAATTCATTATTTTAATGTAAATAAAAGTAATGCAGAGATTCACCGCATTTTAGTAAAACTTTAAGGTGAAGGTTCTTTGGCCGAAAAATGTATTGAAACTGGTTTGTAGGTTTTAAAAGTGATGATCTTGATTTTGAAGAAAGACGAAATAAAGTTTTAGATACAAATGGATTTAGATTTGAATGATATGATTTTTTTATATCTCTAAAAACACTTTTTTTTTCAATAGAAAACGTTACGAAATCGAGTTCAAAACTTTTTATTGAAATTAGACTACAAATAACAAAACAAACTGCTCGTCGAAATAAAGGGTCAATTTATTTAGAAATCCAGTTAATATTACTCAATGGCATCAAACTATGGCTCAATCCAAAACTATTAGTTTGCTCTACGTAAATAGAACTACGTTAGAAACTCGCGGGCGAGTACCAATTTTTTAAATGAAATACGTATTTATAACATATGTTCATGATTTACTTCCCGGTGAAGAAATAACATCGTGTAATAAAAATCAAACCCACAAAATTATAATATGCGTGATTAGTGATGGTGGGACGACTTGTAAGTCCGCACGAGTAGCTACCACCACCCTGCCTATTTTTGTGGTAAAGAAGTAATAATGCATTTCGGTTTGAACGGTGGAGCAACAGTTGTATTATAAGCTGATACCTTAGAATTCATATCTCAAGGTGGGCGGCTGCATTTACGTTGTTGATGTCTATGGGCCAACCACTTAACACTACGCGGGCCGTGAACTCGTCCTCCCGTCAAACCGATAAAAATAAGGAAATATATAATATATACAATTGCACATGATCGTTATTTTCAACCGGCGACATAGCAAACGTTCAATTACTTATTTGTACCTAATGCACGTTACTGATTGAAAATAATTTAACAACTATATAATAATTAACAATTATCTTTTTTTTTTTATTGCTTAGATGGGTGGACGAGCTCACAGCCCACCTGGTGTTAAGTGGTTACTGGAGCCCATGGACATCTACAACGTAAATGCGCCACCCACCTTGAGATATAAGTTCTAAGGTCTCAGTATAGTTACAACGGCTGTCCCACCCTTCAAACCGAAACGCATTACTGCTTCACGGCAGAAATAGGCAGGGCGGTGGTACCTACCCGCGCGGACTCTTAAGAGGTCCTACCACCAGTAGTTACGCAAATTATAATTTTGCGGGTTTCATTTTTATTACACGATGTTATTCCTTCACCGTGGAAATCAATCGTGAACATTTGTTGAGTACGTATTTCATTAGAAAAATTGGTACCCGCCTGCGGGATTCGAACACCGGTGCATCAACACGAATGCACCGGACGTCTTATCCGTTAGGCCACGACGACTTAAATCTATTCTTAGCGCTAATGCTTGTGCGCCATCCAGTTAATGAGTTATCGAGATATTGACGAGACAGTTGTTATGCAGGTACATCGTGGGGATTACTTCACACGGCGACGGCTGCGCAAAGAAATATAAGCCGAGTGTTTATACCAACGTTTGGTATTTCAGAGAGTGGATCGAAAAACATATAAACAAATTTTTTAAGGCGTTTTGCAAGTTTAACCAAACATCCGTACAAAAGAAATTAAAGACGAAAACGTAACATGGACACTTTGCTGTCTTTGTAAATAATGTTGATTAAATAACAAGAAGAAATATTAGGAAAAAAAACTGTGTTGCTTTATTGTATCTTGATTTATTTAGACTAGATGATGACCGAGCTTTGCTCGTTTTTTTTTTTTTTGATAACGCCATCATGTTGTTTCTTTAAAGCGGCTAGTTGCCCTCAATTAAGAAAAATAGTATTATTATTCGCCAATAGATGTCGGGAAGAGTTGATTATTGAAAACACGAATAAAACAACATTTTCTGAAAATAAATCGTAGCTAGATCGATTTATCGCCCCCGAAATCCCCTGTATACTAAATTTTATGAAAATCGTTGGAGCCGTTTCCGAGATTCAGATTATATACAAGAATTGCTCGTTTAAAGGTATAATAAGATAAAATGTTCGAATAGTAAGCAGTAGCTATATGTAGCAGAAGAGTTTATTAAACAGCCGATTGATCAATGAAATCTAAATCTATAAAATGATTTTATATGAAGACTTTTTTTTCTCTTTTTTCCTATCTATTCTAGTGACCTCGAGTGGTCATACACTAGATTCACCGAGTGAGTAGGTGAGCTCACGGGGCTCCAACCTTAGGACGATGTTAACACTAGCTCTCGCAAGAGCAGTACTTCGCAAATTCTACCACCTGATCGGAAACGCGATCCACTGAGAAGATCTGGAGAGAAATTCAGTGGGCTGTGTCTACGGGTTAGTTTACTCGCCGAACCCTTCGACGCGAGAGACGGTTCGACCAGAACGATGACCGGTGCTTGAGGTACCTAAAATCACCATAAGTAGATCGGGAATGAACACTGCTCAAAGCGGAAAACATCTCAGAAGCATAAGGATTTGTACATTGTATTTTTTTATGAGTCTTGTTTTCTAAGATTTATATAGTTTGAGAATTCGGGGATCATTTGTTTATATAAAACTTGAAAATTTGTGGCAATAATATTGTACATATTAAAAAAGATTGCAATTTGAAAAACTTTCGAGATATATATTATAGTATAATCTAGACCACTAGCGCTATAATCTATACTAGCGCTATACTCTATACTAATATTATAAAGCTGAAGAGTTTGTCTGTTTGTCTGTTTGTCTGTTTGTTTGTTTGTTTGTTTGTTTGTTTGTTTGTTTGTTTGTTTGTTTGTTTGTTTGTTTGTTTGTTTGTTTGTTTGAACGCGCTAATCTCAGGAACTACTGGTTCGATTTGAAAAATTCTATCAGTGTCAGATAGCTCATTTATTGAGGAAGGCTATAAGTATATAACATTACGCTAAGACCAATACAAGCGGAGCACCAATAAAGAATGTTTCAAAATCGAGGCATTTTTCTTTTTTGAGAGTGACCCTTTAAAAGTTTTAAAAAGAAGGTGTTTTGATAAAGATGATATTAATCCCTATCCAAAGAAATACGTTATTCATCAAAACAGTGAAACACCTAAATCACTTTAAGATAGGCTTTGACAATTATAGATTTTTCTGGATTTCTCCAGGATCCTCTCATCAGATCTTGATGACTACAGGACCATTCTGGAAGTCTACCATTTCGAACAAAAAAAGAAAAAAGAATTATCAGAATCGGTTCAAGCATTCTCGAGAAATCGGTGAACATACATAGATAAAATATTATGGTGGAATTGATAACTTCCTCTTTTGGAGTCGGTTAAAAAGCGTGATTTTGGTACCTTAAATAGCTCCTTAACATTCTATTATTCAAAAATATTTTCACTTTCTACGTAAATGAAGAGGCAGGTAAAATTTAGCGTTATGCCAATGTTAAGTATTCTACGCGGACGAAGTCGCAGGCAAAAGCTAGTATTAAAATAAAGCGCTCATGATTTTTTTGGTATCTAGACAATTTCGTTGTAGCGTGTTTAACATTTTAGCGGATTACAGCGAATAAGTTTAAATTGAGACAGAGAGAGCGTCTACACAGCTGTGAAACTATTCAAATAAATTTAAAATAATGTTCAATGTCTCGAGAATAAGTGGTCTTTTACAATTTTACGCGTCACGTGATTTCTTCATGATTGTCTCTGTTTCTACGCTTCTTTCGCAAGCGTGACCTCTTCGTTAATAGCGAAATGTTTATATTAATTCATATATAAATTAAACAGACCTCATAACAAACATGATCGAATACAAAATGATATAAATAGAATTGGGAACTGCAAAACCCTGTAATATTTGATAATATGTTCTGTATGGTTATAATATTTTGTATTGAATGAGAAATACTTTGGTATGGCAGAGATCAAAGTGTAAGTAACACCTATTAAAATTATCTATATATTAATACGTGAAGCAAAAACTTTGTATTTTTTTAAAATAATGCATAAAAGATACATTAAATCAATAAAGAAAACAGTACACACACTACATACCATGTATTTGACGCACACACGCATGCATACTATTTATTGTCAAACTTTTGTTCTTGACGTCTGTGGTCTATTTGAGAATAGATTAAATATTGTTTGTCTTTATTAATATTTTTTTATAGTGTAGCCTTGACGAAATTTGTGATTATAGAAGTATAAAATACAATCATAATAGTGTCAAAACTTACAATTCTAATTAATTATAGTCGAATTTCGACTACTGCGGGACCTCTATTTTTATAATTACGTTTACTAGTGGTATATTGCAAGCCAGCATGTATGGATGGCTACCACCATCCTGTCCATTTTAACAGCCAAGCAGTTATGTGTTTCGGTTTGTTTTTTTTTTTTTTTTTTTTTTTTTTTTTTTTTTTTTTTTTTTTTTTTTTTTTTTTTTTTTTTTTTTTTTTTTTTTTTTTTTTTTTTTTTTTTTTTTTTTTTTTTTTTTTTTTTTTTTTTTTTTTTTTTTTTTTTTTTTTTTTTTTTTTTTTTTTTTTTTTTTTTTTTT